AGTGGATGGCGGCGGGGCTAGAGCGGGGCTCCCCCCCGCCCCAGTATCCTCTTTTTTGATTGTGGAAATATGGTAACCCTATGCTTGCTCTAGTTCTTTGAGAGTAGAGTGTTAGCCACTTCAGATCTGAATCAAATGGCCAGCACTGGGATGACAAATATTGTTTTGGAGTTTGGACTATGATTGGGAACCACTGGACTATTGTTTAATTTGTTTTGAGGAGGCTGTCTACAGTCCAGAAAGCAATCTCAGACTCATTTCATTGTATGAGCACCCTACAAACCATATTTGCTATTAATATCACACCCTCCTGCTTGGTGTAGAGCTCTGTGAGTAACTTCTTTTTTTTTTGTTTTTGGTTGGCTGGCAGAAAAAAAAATTTCAGGCTGACTGGAAAAGATTTTTTTCAAAATTTCTGATGAACTAAAAAGCAAAATAAAATTTTTTTGGTTCAAATGAAATGTTTTTCAGGCTTCATTTAACCCAAAATACTGCATTACATTTCAAATGTGAATGTTTTCATTTTATTAAAAATAAAATTTAAGTAAATTTCCAAATTAAAAGTCATTTGAAACTGAAAAATTGAAACATTTTGTTTGGAAAATGTCAAAATGAAACATTTTGATTTTTCTGAAATTTTTTACAGTTGGTGAAACTGACATGAATTTGCAAAAGTGTTGCCAAATCTACATTTTTCACCAAAAAAATATTTAGAATGATTTTTCCCAGCTCTAGTAATCAGAGTAACGCTTGAGAAGAAAATAATGGTGATGTGTATCTGAACATGTTGTTCAGAACCTACACAAATGTATTATGCATCTACTTACTGTGTTGATTGTCAATAAAAATTTACCCTCAAGTGATTTTTACTCTTAATTATTTTCTATTGGTTATGCCATAGGATAAATTCTATACAGGAGGTGTAATTGTAATTGTAATTTTATTGACTACAAAATACAAGATTTCTGGATTTGACTTGAGACAAGATTTGTCAAAGCTATTCCTGTCACTGATTAAATTCAACAAGTAACTTCAGAGAGCCTCATGCAGTCCAGTGAAGTCAAAGGGAGTTATCTTGCTGTGCAAGGAGCACAGGATCACAGTCATTGTTTGTTGTATTTAACAAAATGTTGAAGCACAATATGAATGAAAATCACCAATAATGTTTCTTAAATTCTAGCATGTGTTTTTCTTCATAAAGATTCTACATATTAATGTATTAAAATTATCTCCCTGTTTTAGTTGTCATTTTTTCCCCAAATGATTTTATTCTTGGAAATGAGATGCACATGGTGAAATTTGACTCTTTGATAACTGAAAGCACATACTGTACTGGATTATAAAGTATACTGCTAATATATCTTCAAAAGGAAATGTATTCTCAATTTACAGTGAGCCTTGACTATAAAGGACAGTGAAGAAAAATTGCTTTTTCAGCAAGAGATGAAGTCTTTAAATTTATAACGTTATGCAAGATTGCCAGGGCCTGAGGCAAAACTGGAGTATGTATCTACTTTACAGCTGCAAAAATAATTACATGACCGCTATCTGTGAAGTAATCTTTAATGGATTACTTTTTGTTAGCTTTTCATTATGTAATGTTAGAGCCAAAATAATTCATAGCAAATGGAAAAAAAATATTTTGATGTTTCTATGGCCTGGACCTTTGATGTCCTCCTACGGTATTTTATTATGTGTTGGTTAATTTGTGAAAAGGTCTCAGCTTACAGAGAAGGTACTGCACTTGTAAAGCTGATCTAAGCCTAACAAATGTAGAAAATTACTCAAGTAATTTGCTTTTATTAGGCAAGTATTGAACTTCTTTGTTGCTTCAAAGGTGCTAGAAACCATCCAAGGTGCTATCTAATAGGTTTTCATCTTAATTTATGAGCTCCTCCAGACTTGAGAAGCACTTAAGGTTTGTTAAGATCATTTCACTTGATTTTTTTTTATTTTATTTTACAGCACATACTTTTAACTTTCTCTTCACTTTATACTAGTGATACAATCTTGGGAACGAAGAAGAGCCTCCATACTCAGATGCTCAGTACAGTTCTTATATTATGTCCACTTAAAAAAGATGTATTGGAATTGGAAATGGTTCAGAAAAGAGTAACAAAATGATTAGAGGTATAAGGAGAGATTAAAAAGATTGGGACTTTTCAGCTTGGAAAAGAGATGACTAAGTGGGAGGTATGATAGAGGTCTATACAATCATTACTGGTATGGAGAAAGTAAATAAAGAAGTGTTATTTACTCCTTCTCAAAACACAAGAACTAGGGGTCACCAAATGTAATTAATAGGCAGCAAGTTTAAAACAAACAAAAGGAAGTATTTCTTCACACAATGCATGGTCAACCTGTCGAACTCTTTGCCAGAGGATGCTGTTAAGGCCAAGACTATAACAGGATTAAAAAAAAAACTAGATAAGTTCATGGAGGATAGATCCATCGATGGCTATTAGCCAGGATGGGCAGGGATGGTGCCCCTAGCCCCTGTTTGCCAAAAGCTGGGGAAGGGGCGACAGGGGATGGATCATTTGGTGATCACCTGTTCTGTTCATTCCCTCTGGGGCATCTGGCATTGGCCACTGTCAGAAAACAGGATACTGGATACAGCCAGACCTTTCATCTGACACAGTCTGACTGTTCTTATGTTCTTATATAATAGAACTTTGGTGTAGCAACTTAACTCAAATTAACATACCTTGTTGTTAATAAGTGCTATAAGTTAGTTTTAATTAAAAAAATGTGTAACTTTTTGTTTCTATTGCCTTTATGGTCTTTTCTTTGGAGAGGTGGAAAAAGAAGCAGGTTCTAAAATGAAAAGCGGCAGAGGTCCAGATTCACCTCCCATTAAAATAATGGCCAAAAATTCTCATTGACTTCAGCAGTAACAATATCAAGCCCATGTCCATTACATTGTGCATCTAGTGTGTATGGAAGGTTTTGGGTTATGTAGGATTTTAAGAGTGTATGCTAAATAGCTTCTAAACTCCTACTTGCTACATTCAACCCATGGTATACATTTAGCTTTCACACCATGCTGCTGGACATTTTGGTGCTTCCGTAACCTAGTTATGACTGGTGGAAATTCAAATAAAAATAATCAGTGTGTTATGAGGGGCAAAGAAGAGAAGAGGTGGCAGTAGAAGCAACTGAACTTACTGAAGGTTTACCATCATAAAAGTTGTTGGGAATTGGAGAGGAGATAATGAGCTGCTCTAGAATATCAGTCCTTGAATTGCCATTTTGGACAAATAAAAATGACGTGTCCTTCCCCTGAAAACATAGATGTAACCTGGGTGAATTTTTATGTAAAAAATTGTGACACTGTTTCTAAGTCCACAAAGAGAAAATATCTGTGTTAGCTGAACCTTATGGGAAAGGGTTCTATCGATTTAGGCCAAGTATGCTTTCTTGGGTCAGCGTAGACTGGACAAAAAGGGTAGTAATATCTTTTTGGAAATCCACTTTCTAGACTTGACAACAGAACAGATTCAGCCAATAGATTTTATTCTTTTCTCCTTTAAACGAATTGTCAATCAAACCTGAAAAGCCAACTAAAAACACTAGGCATTCTTTGCTTCTTCATCCCCGAGCATGCTATGCAGAGGGGAAAAGCAGCTATCTGATCTGTCTTCCTATTTATCCTCACTCTACTGGATGTAAGCATCATGGTCCACTCATTAAAAGATCTGTGAAGCCTGAGAGTGCTGAGGAAAGCAATTTTACCAGAATGCCTTCCCCTTCAATTCTCTCCTCCATACACCCCCTAACACCAGAGTATAAAACATGATTAGTAAATGATGCATGAAGTATCATTAATTAATCCTGTACTCTCCATAAAGTCACACAGAGCCTAAGTCCTAGATAGTAACCAATGACAACATATCTAGGATTCATGGGTTTTGGTGCATGGATTTCTGCAGATCCCTCTTTGAGCTTGTCTACACTGCCCACAGTTCAGACTATGGGAGTGTGAATAGCAATGCATGCTAAAGTGCTGTGCTGTAACTCCCGTTTGTGGACACTCTGGTCACAAACTAAATGATTCCTGATTTGCATTCATGTAGTCCCGTTTGAAGAGAACTACATTAACGCGAACTAGGAACCTTTTAGTTTGCGCCCGCAGCATCCACACACAGGAGTTACAGCGCAGCACTTTGGTGCACACTGCTATTCTCACACACCTATGTTCTGAACTGCAGGGCATTGTAGACATAGCCTTGAGGTCCTGTCCTCTGTTGACACTAGATTACTTCAAATAGAGTGGAACAAATCCACTGTCAGTGCCACAGAGTTCTTTGGTTTTAACATGCTTTTGCATGACATTGACTTGGGAAAGTATGCTGAAACTGTGCTCATTGGAATGAGTTTTAAAAATGTCTTTACCAAATATGGATGTTCGCCAGTGTGGATAGGGCTTAAGGCAGGGGTAGGCAACCTATGGCACGTGTGCTGAAAGCGGCACGCGAGCTGATTTTCAGTGGCACTCACACTGCCCGGGTTCTGGCCACCGGTCCGGGGGGCTCTGCATTTTAATTTAATTTTAAATGAAGCTTCTTAAACATTTTAAAAACCTTATTTACTTTACATACAACAATAATTTAGTTATATATTATAGACTTGTAGAAAGAGACCTTCTAAAAACGTTAAAATGTATTACTGGCACGCAAAACCTTAGAGTGAAGAAATGAAGACTCGGCACCCCACTTCTGAAAGGTTGCCGACCCCTGGCTTAAGGTAATGGGGAAAGCTGACAGTGCAGAAAAACCATCATTGGAGGTATTTAATTTTAGATGAGATCTAACACTTATCTAGCATAGTTCAAGAAGAGTATTATTCACTGGAGATCTCCTTTGTAGCCTAAATCATTGTATAATTTAATTGTTCTCAGTCCTAACAAAAACAATGACTTGTTAAAGTGGCCATTAGAAGCCAAAGGTCTTTGCTGTCTAGTGTGCACTGATGTGTCAGTAATGACTTTTTTGTCTTCCCTCTTACAGTATTACGAGATGACTTCAGACAGAACCCTTCTGATGTAATGGTAGCTGTGGGTGAACCTGCCGTGATGGAATGCCAACCCCCAAGAGGCCACCCAGAACCCACTATTTCATGGAAAAAAGATGGGTCCCCACTGGATGACAAAGATGAACGAATTACAGTAAGTGTAAAAATCTGACATTTGAGAATACTGATCTTTTCCCCTTTCCATTCACATCATTCCTCGGCAAACAACGCTAATCTACCCATTATCAGTGTGTTGAGCTGCAGACCTTCAGCCCCTCTGTATTCCTGCCCTTCTGTTGCCTTCCCTAGATGTTGCAGAGGATGCATCTCATTTGCACAAAGCTGGAAATGTATCCTGTCTAACTTCAGACTTATACCATCTAACTGTGGGCTGTGCATTTCTATTTGTTAGAATGATCATGTGCAACACACTCCATCCCCCTGCTTGAGAGGAGAGCTGGCCGGAGAATGAAAATCCCTTCCTAAGAAACATGTTGCATTTTTACAAATAATTTTCATTCCGAACTGGGATTAAATGTCAAAACCACAATATTTTTCACGAGAAGGGAACGTGCAAAGTGAGTCTGACACAACTCTTCTAGTCTGGGTGCTGGAGAGGTTAAGTTCCCCATCTCTCTGCTTCTCTGGGTGCCAAAGTTGTGGGAAGGTGGGGAGGCTGAGTCTCTGGCTTCCAGAGCTGGGAGGCTGGCGCTTAAGCGACCTCACCACGGTAGCCCTCCTAGATACTTTTCTCAGTTTCAGTCTCTACAAGTGGTCACCCAGGGAGCTGCCATTTTGATTTGCCCAATGGAAAATTGAAATTTTTCAACAAAACTCAAATATTCTTGTGGAAAAATTCAGTTTTCAGAAAAAGGTATTTTTGTCAAAAAAAATTCCTTCTAATGAAAATGTCTGACCAGGTCCATTTGAGAGTTATGTTGCAATCTGTAGCTTGTGAAAATAAAATTGTTCACATTTTCCACTGTCACATAATCTTTGTCTTTTGATTACTATTGGTATCTAGGCTCCATAGTGTTTTCTTTCAAGCTAAGTAATACTTCAGTGGTAAAGGTGACCCATTAGTAGTGTAGGTGAACCATTTATTAAATTCCTTTGAAATGTCTCTGCTATACTTCCCACAGCAGAGTTATGGATTGGATTAGAAAGTATAATAAGGTGTTTGGGACAAAATCATATTTCTTTAGGGAGATAATACTTATTCTGCTTTCTGGAGGTAAGCTCTCTTCTCATTAGAAGTGTTTTCATACGCTTATATAGGCTGAAGCGTGCAGTGCACGGGTTATTCTCGAGTATGGTAAAAGCAAATCAGAAAGCTATCAATCTTTTAATTTTGACATGCAAAACCATAAACAATTGTGCCTAACTGGCTTTTAGTAATGCTAATGCATAAAGAGTTCAAAAATCATTTATATGCTGCCAACATGGTGATCCAAGACATCGCTCTCTATGGTTGGAAATAGCAACATCTGAAAATGTACTTCTTATAAGATCATCTCTGCATTATGTGAATTACTAGTGTTAAGCTGATGTAAAACACTGGAGATATACTGTTTATACCTTAATCACCTGCTGAAATGAATTACCACTGTAGGAAAAGAACACACAAAAACCCAGCAACTAAGGTTCAAAATGACTGCTCCTTTTTGAGATCTAAATTGTTTGTTTTTGTTTTCCTTCCTAGGGGAAAACAAAGCTTCAGTATTTAGTACCATAGATTTACAAACCAAGAAACAGCTGTGTATAATGATGGGTGTTTTTTCAACCACTTAACTATCAAATTAAAAATACTTTATAGAAATCTGGGCTAGATTCACAAAAGGACTTGTATGTCTAACTGCCACTTTAAATGCCTGAATCAAAGACTCAGGCCCCACTGGGATTCATAACCCACCCCCGTCAGCTGCAGCCAAATCCTTTAAATGCATAAAATGTTTGCATTTAAAGATCCCTATGTTTCTGCCTCTGAGCCTGCGCCAGGCCAGGTTCCTGACACCTAAATCCCAGAGTGATAACCTAACTGGGGGAAGATAGGTATTCCTGGGCCTGATTCGTCTATGGGGCCCAATCTGGTAAGTGTGTTCAGGCTTTGTGTACTGTAGTTGAGCCCCTGTAGATGAGTTTACACAAAATGATAGGGGGTTGGGGGTGGAGGAGCACTTGGCACCTCCCATTGATTAGCTTAGGGGAGAAGCCACCTAGCATGCTGGCTTTAGTGTAGCATTTCTCAAATGTGGCCACCATGTCTGCATGGGGCCACCAGGGTATTTTTTCTACAGCCACTACAGCTTCCTGGGTGGAAGTGGGGGTGGGGCAAAGCAGCGGCTCCTCCTTGTAGAGCCCAGCTGTTGCGCCTGGCTACCTTGGTGTTTGCTAGCACCACCAGCAGGAGATCAGCAGCCAGCACCATGCAGCCTCCTGGGGGCTCTGGGCAGCACCTCTGCAGACAGATGGGGCCAGTGTGTGTGCTCAGTGGGCTTCGGCTCAGCGCGGGATGGTGGACACACTCTGAGGCCACCAAAAAAATTGTTCTGAGAACCCCTGCTTTAGTGAATCCCATTCTAAGGCACCTATCTCTCCCCAGTCATTGTATAGGGAGTCTAGGCACCTAACTAAGGCTTTGTGAATTGCAGTGTTTTTCCAAGAGCCTGAAAGTTAGGTGTGGCAACACTTAGTTTCAGCACACCTAGGTTTCTTTGTGAATCTAGCCCCATATTTATTATTTGTTTCAAAAGAAATCCCCTGAACTTAAAATGTGTGTTTGCATTTCCTTGCTGTGTAAAGTCTATTGAATTTAGGTAAGCAGAAGATTAAAGCAATATTAGGTATCTCTGTGAAATGCATTCTAAGCATGTATTGTCTATTGCTACCATTCATTCTGTTGTAGGAATTTCCGGTGTTCTTTAATGTGGTGCATTTTCTTGTTGCACTTTAAAAGTGCTGTTCACCCACCTGTGAGAACAAAGTCACACCCCAGAACAAAGGAAACCTGCATTAATTGGCAACACCATCTGTATTTTTGATAGTCTTAAATCTGTGATTGTTGTGGAGGAATAGCACGCAAGTTTGTTTTTGCTTTGTGATGATTATATACTGTGCCTATTTAACTAGCATTCTTCCATCACTCCACCTGACAGAATCATTTTGTATTTTCAGTTTGTTTTTTCTAAAAAGAAACAAACAAAAAACAAGAAACAGGATTTGATGTAGATCTAGGAATAAACTTGATTCAGATACTGCCTTGTGCTGAAATGCTCATTTTGTATTCGGAGGTATAAATTAATGTTGCTGAGATGGCAAACTCCACTGAATGAATTTACATCATATTTGCCAGGCATTGTCTTAATCAGCACTATTAATAACATGGCATATTTCTTATACAGACAAGAGGTTGAAACTACATTATAATTCAGATTCCCATTTCTATACAGCTGTAAAAGGAGTCTTGACAAGAAGGATAAATACACATTCAGTTGTATGTCTTAGCAGCTTTGCAGTAACAATGGATATCTTCTTTTTTTGGTGGTATTTTGGAGACAAAGAGAATGGGACCAGGAATGGACAGCATGCTAAGGGAGAGAAGTAAAAGATTTGGAAAACTTAATTTAGTGAGGTATAGATAAACCGAAATTCCTTATGTAGCATTATTTCATCCAAGAATAGAGTCAGAAAGGATTAAACCATTAAGATGACTAAAATAATGGCGAAGGAATAGGTTTGAAAGCAACATCTGAAAGCACATTTGTCAGGTTTAATTGGCCGCTTCTTACCTGGCATCTTATATTTGTGCTTCCACACATGTTGGGTGAAGTCCTGGATCCACTTAAGTCAATGGCCCAACTTCCATTTCACCCATTAAAATGTCACCCATTAAACTTCAGAAGATTGGGGTTACCTGCCACTTTTAAACACGGTGAAATTGCAGGCACATGGAAGCCAAAGGGTAAAATAGGTGGATATGTGTATGTGTATGTATAAAACTTATGAACTTGAGAACTTACGGAAGTGCTGGTAGTAGCGGCTCCATAATTAAGTTCATGTCAAATCTTTGATATTGACAAGACCTTCAGAACTTAATAGCTTAAATCTCTTGCCATTTTAAGAGAACTAGAAGTGGGAAATGTTGTAGCATCTGAATTTTTGAAGTCATTGTATGTGGTGTTAGGTGATAAGATATAAACAGTCAAAAAAATCACACTTTTTTTGGTTTATGGGTTGGTTCATGTTACCCAAATGGACCACCTTCAGAGAAGTCTTGATCCATGAAACGACCCACTTATTAAATTCCTCCAGAATCTAAAGAATTCTTTCTCTTCGATAACAACAGTGCCAGTCCTGGACTTGTTAGATTGAGACTTCCCAGCCAGCAACTGATACGAGGTTTGTGGGTAATGAAAGGTGACTAAGGAACATAGGCAGTAGCTTGGCTCCTGAGACAAAATCAGAGCAAAAGATTGAGACATCCTACAGCCTTATAGTTAAGATTCTGTTGAGTTAGTATTTGCACTGCTTAATTTAAATCTAATTTTTTGGGGGGGACGACACCCCACAGTTAAACTAGATCCAGATTAAGGCACAACTTCATGAAGAGCACAATAAACACAAAATATTCTTTTGTTCTGACAGAATTAAGGAAATTGATACATTTATTTAGGTAACACAATAAAAATTGATGTTAGTAACCTTTGCATAATTTTGTCCATTTGTGTGGTGAGTAAATATGTATTACAGTGAAATAAAAATAGAAGTTTATCAAGTCATGAAGTACAGTAAATGGAGCAAATATGAAAAAAGATAAGGGTAGACTGAGCTATCAGTGATAAATTATAAAAACAGACTTCCTCATTGACCACAAGTGTATTGGGCTCTGCAGTTTCTGGCTCAGGTCAGCCTCTGTGTAGGCTGATCACTGTACATGTTTTGTGTGTGTGTGTCTGTCTGAGTGATGTGCTGTGTGAAGAATTACAGTCTAAACATTTTGTTTACTTTATAAAGAAATCTGACCAAAAGCAATTTTCTCAGAGTATTAAAGCTAATAATGATTTCCCTCAAGTGTATTCTTTACTCCGTTGTATAAAAGCATATGCTTATAAATCTGGTTAATCCATGTTTGTGTCTTCTGAATTGCAAATCTAA